CAGAGCGCTTTACTTAATCCAGATCATGTTGCAGTTAATGAAATATCTACGCTATTGACAGCATTCTGAAGTGAAACATACTTCCAACCATCTAATGTTTCTTTTTTTTCCCTGACGTCAGAACACTAAAGTGAAAAAAGCTTTTATTTTTAAGCTAATTGCTAATAAATCCCTCCCCAAAGCCTTTTAAGTCGTGTTTTAATACTTCTTCCTAGAACACGAAAACATTTTAAAAAAATGATGCCTTCTTTCCAGCAAAGACAGAGAAAACAGTTCTAAATCAGATTGAGCCTCTACATTATGGGGACCATCAAATCCTTCACTCTAGCAGTTGCCTCAGCAGAGAAAATATATTAAGGTAGTTAGGATCGTTTTAATTAGATTGAGGTCCCATATATGGCTGACTAACTTTTTGAGGAACAGAGAAAGGGCAATAATACATCTGGAGGTCATTGGAGTCTTTCTAATAGACTGTGATACTCAGACCAATTGTTAAATAGAGGAAGAATTGAGTTCTGGGGTTAACTTGTGTCAGCACCCAAAGCAGGGAAAGGATTTTCCTATGTTTCTGGTTAGGATCTGTTCTGTAGGTTTTCTTGCGGCGCATATCCAAAGCACTGCAACAGATTGTAGGTGTGTGTCCAAATTGCATTAACAATCCCCTTTTATAACTGCAAGCAAAGTTTATTCTGAAGTTATAAAGGTCACCCTAGTAATAGCACGACTGGTTGACATGACATATAACCGTGACCTATTTTATAGTTCTCTTCAAAGATTTTTAATATTCATCAGAGAAGGTATGGGAACTGGGTACTTTATTTATTCAGTGAAAGCTTATAAAATAGCTATATTAAAATTTTTATATATGTCTATGATTTTAACTTATTACTGTTTCTTGTTGTTGCTCAAAGATACTATGTTCTGGATGCTTTTGACAGAGTAACAATGTTTAATTATACCACAAGGCTTTGTTTATGGGCAAACCATTTCAAAAGGAAAAAAAAAAGCTTTTTTTTTCTCAAGCTTAGCTCTTGAAACTAAATTTGACCTGGCTGTGTGAAGAAACCTTCTTTATTTAGCATGCTCGGGCAAGCAGCTCTCTGTCTCCTGAGAGATTAACATTGTAAGCAAGTTATGCAGGTGACTCAAATCCAGTTAATCTCACATAAAGAATGTTAATTGCATTGGTAATGGCATTCACTCTGATCACTTTATAGCTGTATAATTAGCTATTGGACATATTCAAGGGGTTGTCTGAGTGATACAAATACAGGAAACAACACGAGCGATAACTTGTTCTTTCCTGATTCACACTGTGCAAAATGCAGAAATGATGGAAAAATGGAAATCACAGTTATTAGTATTTGCATGTCCTTGCTAACTGGGATCTGTACTTACATAGCTATTTATTTTCTAGCAAATTCTAAGCTGTTTTGGAAAATACACAATTTTTGAGAAGCTGATCTGAAACAAACATGTATGTATACTCCTAAATTGCCTTGATATGGAATCAAGTGATTTACCTAATGACCTCTGGGCCATTTACTGTCTTGTCAGCTGGGTCCTTTTCAAAATGTGATAGGAATTTATTTTCTCATCTCCTGTATAACAGGCATTTACAGCCACAGGTAGCAATTTCGTGAATACGCATACGTTCGTTAGTTTCTTAGCTGTTTACAGGCCGCTTTTATAAATATGGTCTAAAATAATTTTTGTATGCAGACTAAGCCAGCATACAGGCACATGCAGAGTTATTTCAATTCAGGGGTCTCTAAATCACCTATGAGGATGCTGATCTGGATCTAAATTTCTTGGTTTAGGATCATCTTTTGAAAAACAGATACCAAAATGTGGAGTGTATTGTGTATGAGCTCAGAGCAGAGGTTGGACTGAGCTCTTCTTAGGACAGAAGTTGTGAATAAGATACTGTTGCAACTTACAAAAAGTTTCATTAAGGTATTCCCTTCTAGATCCACATAATTACAGACAGGCCAAGTGCATTGCTTAGCCTTAAGGTTAACAACTAATGCTTTTGTTACTTTGTCCAGTTTTAATAAGTTTCTCAAACCAAAAAGCTTTATCCAAAAATTTCCATGCCTGATCTCTGCTTCAACTGATTTTTATTTTTTTTTTAAATTGCCAAAATAATTCATGCTTCTCTAAGAATGTTGAAGTTCCTGCAGTTTGGAGGTGAAAGGGGTAATTGGAGGGAAATAGGGAAGGATTTGAAGGAGAGGAATGAAGGAAGCTTTTTGTCCTGAGAAATGCAGATCCCTCATACTGAATAACACGGACATAAAATTTGATGGGAAATAGCTACACTATGTCAGAGATGTAACTTTTTGCTTGTCCAAATAATTTTCACCAAATTTAGCCAATTACGCACCTCTCCAAAAAAAAATAAAATCATCAATTCATACACCAGAGACACCAGGTAGAATGCAGATCTGAACAGCATTTTCCTGCAACTGCAGTTTAGTGCTGCTGTCACTCTCCTGGGATGATACTCGGTTACTTTAACCCATTTTTCTTGAGTTAATATTGTGGATGGGCTGTATCTGCGTGGCACAGAGAAAAGAAGCTCCAGTTTAAGTGTAGAATCATAGAATCATTTAGGTTGGAAGAGACCTTTAAGATCTTCAAGTCCAACCGTAGTTCAAACACATAGTGGAGAAGAGTCAGTTTGCTGTGAGGTACGAAGAAGTGAGAGGCATGGATAGTTGGGAGACTGGACTTGGACACTTGCTGGGTTCCAGCTGTGCAGAGCAATATTCTGGGCTAGGAGGAGACAGATCGGCTAAGGAAGCCGTCTGCAGCTGGAAAGAGCTGGCACAGCCAGTGGCTGGAATGGAGAGGGACGTGAGGCACTGTAACAGGCTGGCCAGGACACATAGGTGAGGGTAGGAGCAAACCTAGCTGGAGATGGGGAAGGGTCAGGAGACTACTTGCACAGGGAAGGAAAAATCTGATGAAGCACACTCAGGACAAGGAGCTGTAGTGAAGCTTATATATGGCTGGTACACAGACTTGAAACAGGGAATAAAGACTGAGATTTCAATGTGCGGGGAGAGACTAGAACTGGATTTACTTGCCTAAACGCTGCTGGAACCTGCAGGTCCCAGTCAGGACAAGGAATGGGACAAAAGCAATGGCTTGGGAGAAATGGGGAGAAGAATCTCTGCCCATTAGACATGTTTTTATCTGTAGCATCTGGAAAAGTGCTATAGATTCTTGAACATGTCTATTCTTCTGCTGACAAAATATGTTTTTCCCTGCCAATAGGTCCCTCTGCTAGTATCATGGAATTCCTATGTGATGCTGTCACTCATTTGCATAATTATTAACAGGTGGTTTTGTGTTCCTTATTTTCTGACTTAATATTCTGATTTGTAAAAATGCTTAACATTTTATCGGCTGCAACTGAATTCAATGGAAGCTGAGCTTCGAACACAGAAAATTACTGCTAAATTAAAAAAAAAAAATTGGCAGTTTTGTGTCTCAGGTTGAGCATCAAAATTTAGCAGATATTTTTTACCTTGGTTTCTTAGATCTCCATCGCACTTCAGAGAGGAACTATGAAAATAAGTGAATTGTTTATGAAGCATTAAGATAGGTGTAATGGAGGTCATGAGGAAATTAATAATTCTGTCTTTGAAGTGAAGTTTGAGTAGTATGACAGGAGGCCACCCACTAAATGGTACAACTACAGCAAAATATTAAACACCTGCTCATTAAATGAATACCAACAATCTGGAGATGTATGGGGAAGAAATAGTACGTGATCATGTAATTGCAACCAGTCCCATAAGGCATAAACAGAAAGGGAGCCATTAAAGAGAATGCAGACAGCCTTAGTTCTGGCACTGAGGTGCTGCGTGCTTGATTTTGCAACCTTGTTAATGTTCTTTTAATTTTTTTTTTTATTTGGATGTAATAAATGTGGATAGCCAACCCACAAACTCAGCTCTGTAGTTATCAAGACAAACTGCCTGAGTCAGAATCTGGTATTGCTTACATCTGTGTGAATTTTGAATAATTTTTCAAGTGACATCATACCCTTCAACTTGCTGGGAATGAAATGCGAAATGTAGTGTGTAACCAGTTTTAAATGGCTTTATAATAAATCCCTGTCTTGAGTGGAAATACTGCTTCTTATAAACCCAGTCTTATAATGGTTTGACTGTAGCATAAATAATTTATGACAATGAAAATGTGCTATGGCTAGGAGAGGACAGAACAAAATTTATGCAATCCAAAGGCAACTTGGAAACTAACCCCAGTGACATCCTTTCAAATGAAATTACCGGTACTTTGAGTTTGTACCAGTATAACTGAGATCAGATTGTGGCTCTGCATCTGGATTTTAAGCAGGCCTGTACAACGTTATGATGATTAATAATATTTGTAGCTGTGCAGGCTAACATAACACGGGTAAACAGAACTTATTATTCAGGCCTTAATTTAGTTTTCCATGGTGAAGTTAGCGATGGGGATCAGGGAAGCTCTGACCTCTGTACGATAGTCCACAATTGCCTGAGATGCATAACACAGACTTCACGTTTTCCTCCGAAGCATCAAGACATTGATTATTGCCAAAGGCAGGCTGTCTCCATTGGCAGCTCCTATATCGCCAGAGCATGCAGGAGCTTTTAGATCCTGCTCTGCATATGCAGTGGTGCAGAGCCAAAATGTTCACACGGAAGGGCATGGTCTTGGAGCCTTCTCTGCTGGCCTGGCAGGTGGGCAGTCAGTGCTAGCCCAGGCTTCCTTCTGGTGGCGCTCAGCTCTTGCGTGAGGGCCAGATGCGACAGCCACTGCCTCTGCAGCCTGGCAGTCATCTTCTGGGCTCTTTATGCACATCATCAGTTCCATTTGTGTGAATTTGTGGAGCTCAGCCTCCTTGCTTCGTTCTGTGAATCGATAAAAAAAAGATGCTGAAAAGTCAAAAGTGTTCATTTCAACCCTCTGACTCACTAAGGAATTTTAATGTCTCTTTCAAGAACGGCCCACGTTTCTCAGGCGACCGATTAACCAAGTGGTGCTGGAGGAGGAGGCCGTGGATTTCCGGTGCCAGGTGCAGGGGGATCCCACACCCACAGTCCGGTGGAAGAAAGATGATGCAGACTTGCCGAGAGGAAGGTGAGAACAACGTTCGTGTTCCCCACACTTTCAAATTTCAATTGTTGACTAACGCTGGAATCGCTCCCTACTACTTATCGTTTGTTATTTGATGTTATGGGCAAGATTTATTTCCCATATTGCTGGTCTTTGGCACTACAAAACCTGTTGATGTTATGGGCAAGATTTATTTCCCATATTGCTGGTCTTTGGCACTACAAAACCTGTTCCAGTGCCAACTGAGCAGGGAAGCCCATTCTGGGTTGAATTGTGAAATTTGTGATTCCTGTGAAAGACAGAAGTGTGTTGCGTAGGTATTGTGAGCACATGGGTATTCACTGAATTTGCTGGTGAAAAGTAAAGATGTTTTAGGAATGTACTAGTGATGGTAGCCTTCATAACAACATGCTGATACCAAAAGGGAGAAAACCTGGCTGGAGAGTTGCAGAGCCGCTCCATTGCACTAGCAGGATGAATTAGAAGCAGAGCGCTGTGGTGGGCTCTGCTGGCTCTTTGGCTCATGTCTGTTAAGTCTCAGAGAGAAAGCTTCCTCCTGAGGAAACAAAAGAACAAACTAGCAGAAGGGGAAAACAAAGCTGGAATTTGGAACAGGCCTCTTGTGTTCGAGAAAGATTCATTGAATCTGGAACAAACGTGAAGAAAATTCCAGTGATCAGGGGATGAGAGGTGAGAGTCTGTCTTATAAAAGGACATTAAATTAGCTTGGCTCCTTTCAGCTAACAGAACAGAGTTTGGTCCTCGCTTTCTGGAACTCTTTCTAGTTTTGATGCTGAATGATTAGATTAAAAAATACTAACACAGAAATAGGTCTGGGAACAGGAATGAGAACCCAGGTCTCCATAATCAAACCAGTCCTTCTGGCCCTGTGAATCCTGATTCATTTTTGCACAGTGTTTTTAGATTCAAGAGGAGACATGAATAGTGCCTTTTTTTCCCCCGCCACAGTTGATCTTTTCCATCAGTGTTGGTTATTCCTGGGATGTTGCTAATGGAATTCGAAGAAAGGAAAAAAAAAAAATCTAGATCTTCTGTTATTCAAACAAGTGCTTTAAACACTGGACTTACGTAGGCTGGCTGCCAGCGTTATTTCTGCTCCTCCAATCACGATCTTAAAAAAAGAGTAGCTGCAATGGTGTTTGTGGGTAGTTTGTGTCAGTGTATACTAAGTGTGCTGTGAGCAGACTACTGGACTGGGCCTGACTAAAACAAGTTAGACATTGCTGTCTGCTTTCTTTATCACAGCGTGTCTTATGTCTTCACCCCAACAAGGTCAAAAATGTAGTACGACTGTTATCTGGCAGTCTTCATCCACTTGCTAAATATGGTGCTCAGTGTTGCATACACTTTCATGAAAACCAATGGCAAAATTCCTCAGGGTCACACGGCACTTAATCATGTTTGCATCTTGGGTTAATATCTTTCGTTTCTCAATTTCTAAATCTTTAATAAAATCCCAAAACTCAAATTGGAGAATACCTGTTTTAGTTTCCACATCCTCAACTCTGTAAGATGTCTTACGTGAGCATGCAGTTCTCCAGTGAAATATATTAATGATACATAATCTAGAAAAAACATTTCTGTAAAAGCAGAGATACGTATGTATATATATAGAAATACTTGCATTTTAAAATTGATTTCCTTGCAATTTTAAAACATTTTAAAATGACATAGATTTTTTGCTAATTCTATTGATAGATATGTATGCATGTAGTACATAAAATATTATTTTGAAGAGCAGGCTTTTGGGTGGCAGGATGAATTTTTCTCTTTCCTTGCTATTTAATTATGCATTGTAGAGCCGTCCGTAGTAAATACATTGTGCTTCTGTGATTTATTCTTACTATTGTGCTGCTTCTGTTGTTTTAAATCATGTCTACTTCTAGGTCTTGTAAGCAGAAGTAATAGATGATGAACCAATAGTGCCTTTGGTTAGGTTGTACTTTTATTAGGGTTTTTTTAATGACTATGTTCCTTCTTTTATATCTTATTGTGGAAAACATAGTAATATGTGCTTTGAAGTAATTTTTTCTGTTCATTCGTGATGTATTTTTAAGGAAGAAGAAATGAAACTGGAAGCATAGGAAAAGTTTTCACTGAGCTTTCTAACTAAAGAGAAGGTTCGTCAGGTACATTCTGATCATAATCAACTTCAAGCTCAGAAACTACTCACAATGTTCTGCGGTGTTTTTACACTGCTGTTTAATGTTTCATTAACTGTGTTTTGGCATCTTAAAACAGAAGGTGGGGGTATGTCTGGGTGAGGAAGGAGCAAGGCTGCAGAATCCCGTGCTGGAGACCACTTAGGGTGATAGAGGACTGCCGCTGCCCGTGTAGTGGGTTGCCACTGCATAAGCCACATGGATTGTGGTCATCTAGTAGACTCCAACATCTGTGCTCCAAAAGCAAATACCTCTGATGATCAGGACTGTATGTTTTCTTTTCTAAAATGTATCACTTATATAGAAAGATACATGAGCAGAGTCTTCACTGTCCAAAAAGTGGAAATTTCCAACCATTCTGCATGATGCTTAATCAAGAAAGATAAACTTGGAACAGCCAAAAGAAAAGGTATTGTTTTTCCTGGATTTTTTTAATGCAAGCAAAGAAATTTGCCCAGGTGTAGTCTGAATGAATGGATGGATGGATAAGAAAATGATAATATAGCAATTTTATAAATTAGGAAGAGGATTTCGAAGTTTTTCCTCCTTGATGAAATGGGAAGGTTTTTTTTCTTTTTTGAGGTAAAACCAAAATTAGCTTTCAGCTTCTGAGCTCCTGTATTTTAAGCATTTTAACATCTACAGTGAACTATGAAACCCTCAAGGAATTCCCTTTGTTACTCTTCCTACGTACATAAATCCTTCTTCTGAGCAGATCTGTGCAGCTATTTGTCTTATAGCTTTCAATATCAGTTTCCTGTTTTTACAGCTAATGACCTTCTTTGCACATCAGTCTGCTTTTGTTTTTTCGATAATTTCCTTTTGGCTTCTTCCCTAGATTATAAAACAATTATAGTAGGTATAGTGCTGTTTCAGCAATTATTGCAAATTGTGAAACGTCTGTTGTGAGTTCAGCTTTCAAAAGTGTCTAGTTCAGTGATAGTAAAGTGGGATAAACTGAATTTTTGTATGCATTTTGTTTCTGTAATTTGCTCCTGGTGAATGCCAGAATCAGTGCTATTGGATCCATAGTATTTCAGAAATCCTTCTCTGTTCTTCCATCTTACTTCCTTTTGGCTTTTTTAGTGACACAAGTGAAAGCAAAGAGAAAAGTAATCACAGTAATTTCTAGTGACAAATATAAACAGTATTGGTCCACCGATTGGTGCGTTGAGTAATGGAAAATAATTTCAGGCTGTTACAGTTTTAATTATAAAGGTCCCTGGTGAACTGTAAGCATCTCCAGTTGCAGTTGGATTGAATGAGGGGAAAAAAAAGCAACTTCTAAAGAAATTAGTATGTTTGAAAATATGCCTATTTAAAAAAATTGAATTTGGCCATTTTGTTGAATTGTCTATGTAATTACCCAGAAATTTATGAATAGCCATGATATAAAACTGAGAACAGATGGACATAAGTTTATTCTGAGGGTGCAAGGCTTCATTGCGAATCTTAACTGTTTTGAATTGATGATCTAAAACAACTATGGTAGTCTATATTTTGAATTTAAAACCTTAAAGCGGTTCTTCCAGTGGAAGTTTTCAAAATGCTTATGAAAAATAGGCCTCGCTAACAGGACATAACTTTTCCAAAATCCTGTAGACCTGACTTGACATGTCAAATACCTTGGTACGTATCATGGAGCTCTTCTGTGTATGCTTGGGCAGGAATTATGAAAGCTATAAGAAGAACCAAGTGGAAACAGTGTTGTGGTTTATGTATGCTAACTGTTTTCTTAGTTCTTTTACATTGTTGTGATAATGAATTAATTAAATTCATCAGACTTGAAGATTTTATTTAGAGGCTAAACCAATCCCAGCAAAGTAATAATTTGCTATTAAAAATGTTGATACTGCACCAACAGGGAGAAACATAGTACAGTGTGAAGCCTGGGGTATGTAAAGCTTTTTTCCAGAAGCTGTCCATTTCGAATCAGTGACCCAAGACTGAAATGCATTGTGAATCAAGGGTAGAGGAGCATGGTGTATATTTTATTTTAATTGCTCTAAAAATTCAGCATCACACCATAGCTTCCACAGTACACAAAGGCTAGGGAACAGTCAATCAAATATGACTCATGTCAAACTACTGGAGGTGAACAGGATATTGTGAGGTCACCAGGCCTATGCCTTTGGCTGAAATATTAAGTTCACTATTTCATGAATAGAGGTTTTTTTCATTATAAGTGACACAAGGAAATGGCACAAAAATTGTACTAAAGCGACTCAGACAATTGCAGCTATGCAGAATGACCAGAACCTATTGAAAATTAAATAAAAATTGCCTTTATACATTGAAGTCTTTTTCCAGCCACATGTTCAGGTAGCTTTCCCTTTGTCTGCTTGGTAAAAATACAGATTATACTTTCCTGCTAAGGAGCTGATGGTCTCCTGTGTGGTGGGGAGCTCAATATGGCCTGGATCAACTTTTGATTCACCGGCTTTTTAGTCCTGGTAACAGGAAGAAAGTGCTATTATTTGAGAGCCTCCAGTATGAGAGTGGCATATCTATGAGTAGCAATGTAATAAAATTTGAATAAGATTTGTACAGTGTTTCATGTCTTCAAATTTTCTAGTGAAGCCAAAGAGAGCAGCTGCATAGTCTGTAATTACATAGCAAGTAACACGGATTTTTTTTCCTTTGAGGAAGTGAAGAGATTTTCAATTACAAGTTAAAATTTATGACACACTGTAATAACTGTTTAAACCTTTTACACAGAAGAAGCTAGCAGTGCCAGCTCTTTGGGAGAGTGAGGTTAGCTCAGCAAATGTATTTTTCAGTTGCCTTAAAAATGACTGAGTAGCAATCACATGGGCCTCTTTTTGCATTCCAGCCCAGAAC